AGAGTGGGTAATGTGTGGCTTTTAATGTTGGCCTTTAAATGCCAGGATAGTAGAAGAACCCCCTGCAAATGGCCTCTTTTTGGAAAGTGTACATTCCAAGCTATTTGCTGAGGGGCATGGTGAGTATTTTGCAGATCTTATTTGTTGCCACAAGTTTTTGGAAAATGAAGAAAGAAAACAAAAATTAATTTTTTCTTTTCTTTTCTTCAATTTCAAAACCATGTGACAAAAATGATATCTGTAAAATACTCACAATGACTCTTATTAAATTCCTTGAGGTGTCTACTTTCAAAAAAGGAGTCATTAGTGGGGGGGTTTGTACTATTCTGACATTTTAGGGCCTCCAAAACTGTGATAGGTAGTGAGGAAGTGATATGAGGAAATATGCTCTTTGAAAGCCTGAAGGTGGTCATTGGATTTTGGGGGCCTGTATGTGGCTAGGCTGCCAAAAAAGTCTCTCCTATGTGGTATCCCCATACTCATGAGAAGTAGCACAATGTGTTTTGGGGTGTTATTCCGCATATAGCCATGGCATATGTGAGCAATATATCATGTAAGTGACAACTTTGTGTACAAAAAAAATTTTTAATTTTCCAAAAATTTGTGGCAAGGAAATTAAATTTTCCATGGACATCTCAATATGCCTCTCAGCAAATTCATTAGGTTGTCTACTTTCCAAAAGGTGGTAATTTGGGGGGTAAAGTAAAAGCTGCGTAAATTCCAGCATATATACCATGGTTTGTAGACACTATAACTTTCACACAAACCAATTAATATACACGTATTGGGATTTTTTTTTTTACTAAAGACATAGCAGAATACATTTTGGCCTAAATTTATGACTAACTTTTTTTTCTCAAAATGTCTTTTTTAATTTATATCACAAAAAATAAAAAACCCAGTGGTGATCAAATGCTACCAAAAGAAAGCTCTATTTGTGTGAAAAAATTACATAAATTTTATTTTGGTACAGAAAGAATGACCATGCAATTACCAGTTGAAATTTTGCAGTGCTGAATAGCAAAACTGGCTTGGTCAGGAAGGGGGATTAAATCTTCCAGAGGGGAAGTGGTTAAGCATCTACAGCCAACCATACTTTGTTTAATCTGGGCTGGAAAACCCTCTCATATGATATGTCATATCCTCGTTAGATGAAAAAATGCATATAGACTGGGATGATATTATTATTATGTATATTTTTGATCATCACCTCAGCCAACCATATAAACCCTGAGTGACCACAGAAAAGGTCATCACATCTGTTTTCCTGTATTCTGTTTCCTGGATACAGCCTATCACACATCATAAAATGCCATACCTACCTTTTAGTCTTCCTCCCTTGCTGAAATTTTCAGACTCCTCTGTGAGATCCTCCAATTGAGTTGTAAAGCCCCTTTAGCACAATATTTAACACCCTTTTGAGACTTAAACATCAACAATCTGATGGGTTGACTCATGTCATCTCATTGTTGTATGGTTTACTACACATGGATATTTGTTTCTGCCAGGCCTTACCATATAGCTGAATGGAAATGTGATCTTCATTGTATACTAACTGACTCATATGTCCTTAAATCATTTACTCTGTACAGCAGTCATGGCTGACAGCCCTGACAGGTGGTACAAGCTAACCTGAAGTGCAGAGTCTAAGTGACAGCTTGGAACTCATCAGAAAACACAAGGATTGATGGACCGGGGACCCTGATGGCAATCGGGCTACTTTGCTACAAACTCACACCAGGTCTCAGCCCTCAGGATCACCTCACCACAGTGTCTCAGGAACAGGACAGCTTTTCTGTAGAGACAGTGGTGTGATGTGAGTTGGAAACAAGGGCAGTGCAAGGCAAGCAGGGTCAGCAATGGGAGCAATAAGAATAACCAGAAATTTGGTGCATAAGGTACCGGGTGAAAAGACACAGCCCTGGTCACTGATGTTTAAATACACTCCAGTACTTGAGATCCTACCTAGTGTCAGAGCCATGTGCAACTGCATGTTAATGCACATGCATCAACACTTGCATGCCTACCAGACATGCATGTGCATATTCAGCCATAGCTAAAAGACCAGCTAGCATGAGACACATTACAGACAGACAGGATGGGCCATGCCCCTGATACAGACACCCACGCTGGAGGTATTGTAACAGCATACCAGATCTGCATTGTTCTACCATAAAGGCATTCAGGAAATCTCATTAGCATGACACAGACAGCAAAGCATAATCTGGTAGGTTTACCTCTCCACTACTCTATCCAAAACTGGAAAAAAAGCTTTTGATATATGTACTTATACTTTAATGTGTTACTAAACCCACATCAGTAAAATCAGTCTGTATATGCAGTAAAGCATGCTTGCTATGCTCACTGTGGAACCTAAGGGGTTAATCCTCTTCATTGTGTAAAAAGGATGTTAAATCCTGTCTTCTCTGATCCTGCCCTTCTTCCAGTGCACCCCTTTTAACTGCTGATAAGACATATCATGTGGAGACACTGCACATGCTCAGTTTGGTGTGAATTGCTAGATAGATTTTTTTATCTGCTGGACACTGATAGAAGTCACAATACTACTCTAATTGCTGATGAGAAAACGTATTTAGCAGTTTATATTTTCTAAAATAATTAAAACATTTCCATGTTCTGTGTACTGTGGGAGCTCAGATAGAGTGAATGCAGGGTCCTGGGTTTAGTAACACTTTAATATTAGTGTGAACTTCCTGTCATGTCATGGTAATTTGGTTTGAGAAAGGGTCATGTGGGACCAAAAAGTACATAGTATAAAAAGAGTCTTTGTGACACTGCTAATGTAATTCGTAGATGTTGAAGAATTTTAAATCCCTGGTGCTGTACTTTGTGAGCTACCAAGCACTGTATCCTGGAGATGCCCACTGGGGTGGAAATCAGTACAAGGTATTACATGTATATGCAGGTGTGCAGATATTTAACAAGTATTTTTATATTTTGAACAGTACTGTTTTCACAGATATTAAAACAAAGCAAATATAGTTTGTGATTTTTGTGTGATAGCCAGATGTCTCAGTGGTATTGTATAAAAAAGGAATAAATAAAATAGTACATTCTGTTAGAACACAGCTCTAAAGTAGTATGACAGCTAACTCACAGTGTGTCCTACTATAACACAAACATAATTGTTGCCAGTCATTTTGAAACACTTTTTTTCCACATTCCATTGGCAAGTATAGGCAGGAAAATGTTATGGATAATGTCAAGATTGGCCTTTTGAACAATCTAAGTTGAAATTAAAAGGGTGACTGTTTGTAAGACCAACGTATCATGTTGTAACAGCAAGCCACATCAATTGTCCAAGAAAGCCTTCAAGGTATACTGGAGTACTTGCGATAGTTTAAGAGGACTCAGATACATAGAGATTGTATGTGTCAAAAAAAAAATAAATAATAGGAGTATATTTAAATCAACATAGGCCCTCCAATCTAAGAAGTAAAGCAACAAGACTAAATAAGACAAGACAAGATAAGAATAAAAGGGCATTTTCCCCTATGTGTATAAAAACACAAAACACACTGTCAAACGACATTAAGCAATACAATGGCCTTCTGGAGTGACAAAAATACAGGTGACTTGGGGTTAATATATAGACCATGTGTTTAGTAGCAGGGTCAATTCTATATAGAAATAGAGCATAACATATGACTAGGTGGATATGAGATCTGTGATATGGGGAAATATAGAAAAGTAGCTAGAAATGACAATTTCGTCTCATTAAAACAAATGGGCAAGTCATTGTCATCTGCCATCTCCTCACAACCTATGATCTTCAATTAATAATATTAGTGTATTACAAAATGATAATGATCAAACATAAGCACATAAACAAGAATTATTTACTCCTGGTAGTGAATACATTGAGGCTGATTTAATAAAGTTAACTCGCTAATGTACAAAATGCATTCAACTCCCCAACATTTGTCAAACTGCATGTAACTGGCACTAACTTGTGAAGACCTTCAAGTATCGACATGTTCCATTTAAGAACCTAAAGTGAATCTGCATGAGGAATATGAAATTCTGCTAGCTGACTTGTCGAGAACCACAATTTAGTATCAACGCAGTAGGGAAAAGTGTGAATGTTTTAGCATAACTGTGGTAACTGTTTAATGTGTGAGTACAAAATAAATGATTGAGTAATCAAAGCATGAGAAACGCACCCAAACATGAATGTTTGTTCGTAGAAAAGGAGAGGTGTACAAGCCAAGCACAGGAGCAGTGGCTGGTCAACAAATTTTCAAGTTTTTGCTCTCTCCTTTGGTGCAAGCAATGATTTTTCCTAAATTCCTGTAATTGAATCCAACGGAGACAACACAAATGAAGATGACCTGAAATGTAAATACAATGTGAGAGCATGATTATGACTGAGCCACAGTTTTACCACCTCCCAATCACATGTGTAAATGAACCCTTAGAAAACCAGGTCTGGTGGTAACAGGGTTGGTTTGCACCACTGTGTTTCCTGAAAACTGACATAACCACTTGCCCTCCTAAGGATTTACCCCCCTTCCTGACCAGGCCATTTTTTGCATTATGGTGCTGCATTACTTTAACTAACAATTGAGCGGTCATACAATGCTGCACCCAAATGAAATTTACGCCCTTTTTTCCCCTCAAATAGAGGTTTCTTTCAGTGGTATTTGATTGCCTGTGCATTTTTTATTGCTTGCGCTATAAAAAAAAAAGGCCAACAATTTTGAGGGAAAAAAAAAACAATATTTTTGACTTTTTGCTATTAAATGTAAAATAAAAAATAAAATTTGGTCATGAATTTAGGCCAAAATGTATTCTGTACATGTCTTTGCTATACAAAAAAATCCCAATACATGTAAATTATATGCTTTATTTGGAATTTAATTTAATTGCTTTATTATAGACTTTACAAATAGTGGTATAGATACTGTGATTTTTTTTTTAACATTTTTTATTTTTACTAGTAATGGTGGTGATCAGTGACTTATAGCGCACATTCTGACACTGGGGGGAACTGACTTGGTGTCACTGACATCCCCAGTGACACCAATACAGTGATCAGTACTAATAAAAAGCACTGACACTGTACTAATGGCACTGGGCCAGAAGGGGTTAACATGTAGGGTGGTCAAAGGGTTAACTGTTTGCTGTGTGCTGTTTTACTGTGTTCACTGTAAGCACACAGCTTTGCATGGCTCTACTATGCAAAGCCACGCATAGCAGTGTGCAGGAGCTGAAAGGGGAGAGAACTGTATTGTTTACTTACAGTGCTCTCCCTTCGTCAGTAATACTCCTCGATCACCGGGTGCCGGTGAATAATCACTGGCTGGGACCCGGTGATTGACAGCCGAGGCCGCAAATAGCAACAGAAATGCCAAATCACGTATATATATGTGATTTTGTGCACCCCCGCTGCCCTGTAGCAGTATTACTGCTATAGGGCATACGGGAAGCGGTTAATCAAGCCTACAAATTGTAATGTTGTGGTTTCCATTTATAACCACTTCAAATCCAGGCGCTGTCTCACTTGGAATGACATTTGAGTGTCATGCAACACTGCACCCATATGAAATGTTTAATTTTTTTTCACACTAATAGAGATTTCTTTTGGTGGTAATTGATCAGCACTTGATTTTTAATTTTTTGCTATATAAAAAAAAAAATACAAAAGATTTAGAAAAAAATGTTTTTGCTTAATTTTTTATAACATTTTGCAAATAAATAGTCTTTCTTCATAAATGTAGGCTAACATGCATTCTGCTACATTTTTTGAGTTACAATATTATTTAGTCTGTGTGAAAGTTATAGAGTCTACAATCTATGGGATATACTGTATATCTGAAAATTGATCAGTTGAGATCCTAAAATGCTGTACACTGGTGTGATGTATGGCACTGATCAGGATGCTGGTATGGGGTAAGTCAGTGATTAGGACTTTGGTGTGAGTTATGACGGTGGTATGGACACTGGTATGGTGATGATCAGGATCCTGGTATGGCAGTGATCAGGATGCTGGTACGACCTATAGCAGTGATCAGGATGCTGGTATGGGGTACGGCGGTTATCAGGACCTTAGCATGAGGTATGGTGGTGATCAGGATTCTGGTATGGTGGAGATCAGGATGCTGGTATGGGGTAGTGCAGTGATCAGGATGTTAGCATGAGGTATGGTGATGATCAGGATGCTGGTATGGCAGTGATCAGGATACTGGTATGGGATATGGCGGTGATCAGGATGCTGGTATGGGGTATGGCAGTGATCAGGACACTGGTATGGGATATGGTGATGATCAGGATGCTGATATGACATATGGGGTGATCAGAAAGTTAGTATGGGGTATGGTGGTGATCAGGATGCTGGTATGGCATATGGGGTGATCAGAATGATGGTATGGGATATGGTGGTGATCAGGATGATGGTATGGAGTATGGGGGTGATCAAGGAGCTGGTAGGCTGTATGGCAGTGATCAGGACTCTAGTATTATGTATGGCGGCTTTTTTGGGAACACTGGGACAGTTGACAAGGGCTGGCTGATTTTTTTTTATTTACATTACACTGGGGCAGTGATAAGGGATACTGGAGAAGCTGGCACTGCAGTCTGTTAGTGTACAAGCAGCCAGGCAGGCTGCTTGTACACTCACAGGCTGCAGCACCAGTTCTCTCTGAGAGCAGAGATAACTGATCTTCACTTTTGACCCTAAAATGCTGGACACTGGTATGATGTATGGCAGTGATCAGGATGCTGGCATGGGGTATGTCAGTGATCAGGACGTTGGTGTGGCTGTGATCAGGAAGCTGGTATGGCGTTGATCAGAATGCTGGTATGGGGTAGGGCAGTTATCATGACGCTGGTATGGGATATGGTGATGACCATGACCAGGGGCGGACTGACAAATCATGGAGCCCCTGGGCAATAAGGGATCATGGGGCCCCTGTGTCCTTGCCCAAACTCAAAAAAGCCTAGGAAAAAGGTACCAGGGGCATCTCATGGGGCCCCCTACTGACCCAGGGCCCTCGGGCAGTGCCCGAGTTTCCAAATGGTCAGTCCGCCCCTGACCATGATGCTGGTAGGGCATATGGTGTGATCAGAACACTGGTATGGGGTATGGCAGTGATCAGAATGCTGGTATGGCATATGGGGTTCTCAGAACACTAGTATGGGATATAGTGGTGATCAGGATGCTGGTATGGAGTATGGCGGTGATCAGGGAACTGGTATGGTGTATGGCAGTAATCATGGTGGTGATCAGGTAAGGCATTTGGAGATGATCATGGCGCTGGTATGGGGTATGATGGTGATAAGGATGCTGGTATGATGGTGATCAGGACATTGGTAAGGTGTATGGCAGTATTTGTGTGAGCACTGGGGCAAGTGATAGGGGCTGGCTGCATTTTATATCTACATTACACTGGGGCAGTGATCAGGGATCCTGGGGTGGTTGGCACCACAGTCTGTTAGTGTACAAGTAACCTGACAGGCTGCTTGTACACTTACAGGCTGCAGCATCAGCTCTCTCTGCTCTCACAGTGAGAGCAGGGAGAACTGCTCTTTACTTTTACTTTGTATTGTTTACTATGTGATTGCTGTGATTGAACACAGCAATCACATGGTAAAATATCATGTGATCATCCGAACACAGCAGTAATGCGATCCACTGTGTCTGGGTGACACTCAGATTGCCGGGCTGCCAGGTATGCGCTTTGTGAGCCTCGCAGGAGCCTCCGATGTGGGCTGATGTACAGGTACGTTAGCCCACATCGGCGCTGCTTCCCATCCACTTTCTATAGACAATGGGTGGACAGGAAGCAGTTAAGAAGAACTTGCTATTTACACATTCTCTCTCATACTTTGGAGAAACCAGACAATAATGGTTTGCAGAGAGAGACTGCATGATATATCATTTCCATCCTTATCTTACTGCAAAAAAAAGATCTCTCATAATCCACAATGTTCAGCTCAACCCGGCACTTGGCTGTAAATGAAACTGATAATATTTTTCAGATTTTCTCTCCTCCCCACTTTAGGTCTTTCAATGGCAATGGCTAACCATACCAGCTCAAGGTACAGACACTTTTCTTTTTTTGGTGTGGGTGCCAGGGTCTGAAGCTCATTTCCTCCCTTTTCTATGTTAAATTGGATCCTTTAATTAAAAAGGTTTCCTGAGCTACCTGACTCTACTGTTTAGGAGACTTTGTAAGCTTTGTACTTAGGCTTTGTCCCGAGCCACCAATTTAGTAAAATAGGGCAAACCAATATCATATATCTGTGTGTGTATGTACTTTTCATATCTTGACAAGCCAAGTACCTGGAAGTAGAGGAAAGGCCGTTGTGCAGGTCGTCTGTTCCTCAGCTGGTGTATTTTACACTAGGCAACCCATATCACATCTGGTCTACTTTTTACATACAGAGAGATGTGATTTGACAGTCTGAGAAGCAAATCAGGAATAGATATTAACCAAATAGATTTGAAGAATGGCAGAGAGTGTAATATGCACTCTCAATGAACTTCTTTTAAGTTGAAAACTGGCGGATAAATGTTGGAATAAATTGCAGGATCTGTTACCATGAAAATTATTCTTGTATGTAATGTTTAATGTTTTTCAGGCTATACCAACCTGGTATGAAATAAAATATACACAATGGATTTGCACCCTTAATGCAATGGTTATGATGTTTCAGGTCATACCAAGCTGGTACACAATCAAACAAACAACCGCAGATTTGCACCTTTATATTTGAAAGAAAAGCATACCATGCAAGTGAATTAGAATCTTCAAAAGTAAAAGAAAGAATTTTGTCCTAGCTATAATGCAGTGAAAAGGTTTCTGTTAACTTGCACAAAGAAATAGAGGAAGAGATTACCAAAATCCCCTACACACAGTTCTTTGTGATGTCATCTAGATTAAGAGCTGCAGATATTCATTCATAGGAAGTAGTCGTTAAGAGGAAAAATCAATTTGTTTCAGCCATGCTACTGAGTTTAATAGATGAAGTGGCTCTTTAGTATGGTCAGCTTAAATTGCTGAGAGAATGAAGTAAATTCAGACAAGAATACAAACTATTCAAAGTTTAAAGGTGGTTTGCATTAATTATGTTTATCTGGATTTACTTTGCTGTTTCTAATTGCATTCTTGAAAAAAATAATTATTCAGAATACCTACACAAGTCTTTGATGATTTTTATGATTTACTTTTCTGTTCAGATACATTAATTTTGTATTTTATATCTGAGATAAATTAGCAGTTAAAAAATAGAGAAAATACATCCAAACCACACTTTTTGTGTGCTTGTTTATTTTATCTATTGTGATTATTTGATCATAAATCTTTCCAAATCTGGTAAACAACCATCAGTAATCTTACTAGTGGCTGCAATATTTCAGTATACAGGTACCTATGCATAGTCAAGTGATGCTATCTCAAGTGTGCAAAAAGGATCTAACTTGTAAAGTTCAATTTTGCTAGTCTAGCTAGTAAGTTTGGTGATTTACAGTGATAAGCATTTTAGGAAGATCAGACATATACTAGAACTAAAAAGCAATTTGGTTATGCAATGGTGAACTTTATTTGTGTATATGTCCAAATTCTACTCAAAATGTTATTTATAGGGTTGGGTCAATATTGCTGCCATTTTAAATAAATGCATGAAGGAAGGTCAAGCAATTTAGCCTATATCAATTCTAAGACCTACTAGTGTAGCAGAGTGAACCTTTACTTACCATGTTCAGATGCAGGTGTGAGCTTTACATAGTTACATAGATAATTACATTGTAAATAAGATCATACAAAGACATAGACCTGTCAAGTTAAACCTCTGGGTGTGTTTGAGTGTGTGAGTTTTATGTGTTTGATTGAGAGGATGAGAAAAAACACCCCATGGCAATCAAATAAATCCACATGTCAACCTTCTGAGAAAGATATCTGAACCTTTTTTTATTTATTTTCTTCCTGTAACAATGATATACCTTATGCCAAATTTGTTTCCCTGCAAAATTTCTTATCATAACCAGAAAGCAAAGTGGTTTAGCATGCGATCTGCAGCCAGGTGTATAGTTACCCACTGTTAGTCTTGACAGTTGGGCAGCCAGGCAGGAACCCAATGGCATGCACTTCTCCCATTGTTAGCAAAATACTATGCTTCAGGTGGTGTGGCCCTGCATCTCCAGCTGCTCACCTGTTGTAGTGTTACTAGTCTATAAGAGCCTTGTAGAGACCTTGTTGTGGTGACACCTATTGTATTGTCAGAATGGCAGAGGTATTGCTTTGAGGGGCTGCTATTTTCACAGCTCCATAATCTATTAAACATTGTATTGTACTGTATGTACATTTTTGGAGATTTTACCCTGTATTCATAGTTAATCCTACTCTGCAACTGTTTAGTAAACTTCAATTTACAGTACAAACAGGAGCCAGGCTCTGTGTAGTTTTGTGATAAAAGTAATACACCTTATATGGAGGTGTGCCTTTAATAATTCATATGGTAAAAAATAGATAACCAGCCTGTGACTTTAAGAAGCCAGGTTCCAAGGTTATCTATTTTTTACCATATGAAGGCACACCTCCATATAAGGTGTATTACTTTTATCAAAAACAGGGGCGGACTGACAATTTGGAAACTCGGGCACTGCCCAAGGGCCCGGGGTCAGTAGGGGGCAACATGAGATGCCCCTGGTACCTTTTTCCTAGGCTTTTTTGAGTTTGGGCAAGGACACAGGGGCCCCATGATCCCCTATTGCCCGGAGGCCCCATGAGTTGTCAGTCCACCCCTGATCACAAAACTACACAGCGCCTAGCTCCTGTTCATACTTTCCACAAACTGATGTGTTTTTATCATGGCAGCAGTGAGTTTTTTCCCCACTAATAACAGTTGATATATACCATTCACTTATTTCCTTTGGGACACATCTGTGCGCTTTTTATCCAGACCGTTCTGCAAGTTACAGTACCCCCATCTGATAATTTGGCTGATTTCTTTATACTATTACATCAGCTCTTATGGAAAATGCTACAGTTCATAATTCAGATATGAGCATTAGATACTCCAAAGCTCAAATTTAGTTAGGCTTACATACACTATAAGACTTTAAGTCTTGATTCCCAAAAAGCATACACGCCAGGAAAAATGTAGTAATGTTTTGGTTAGTGTAAATGCCCGATTGTACTAGTACTCAGTGTAAATGATGTCTGTAGATTGGTGGTTAGTATAAATGTCCCTGTTACAGTGTTTAATGTAAATGCTACTTTTATAGTGGTGGTCAGGGTACATGCCCCCTTTACATTGACAGTTGGTATAAACTTGTTATATTGTTGGCCATTATGAATGCCCCTATTATTTTGATAGGTAGCATAAAATGCCCCCATTATATGGGTTATATGGGTTAAAGACCAATGGAAAAGGCCAGCAGCCTTCATTCTAGCTTTCAAAGTCCTCTAACACATTATAGGAGGGTATGATTTTATTTGTGCTTGGCAACAAATCTCTACTTGCTGTACAGTGAGTAAAGACTGGCTGATATCTTTCTGTCTTGGTCTATAACAGCAACCATGAATGTTTAAGAGGTCAAAATAATGCTGCCACTTTGCTGTTTGTTGGTACAGTAAGTTGCATTTTTCTTTCTGTGGTATAAAGCTATGTATCAGTTGTTATTACAACCTTAAAGTAACTTGCTTAAGGCCGGATTGGTCAGGAGGATGAGGGGGGGCAAGGTGCAGCAATCGTGCACACAGAGATGGATGCGAACCTCCATTTTGGCAAAGGCTTCCATCTTGTATCATTTTCTACTCCCAAATCAGATTCCTCCGATATCCCCCTCCTTCTCTGAGGAGTGACATATGGTCTGTTTGATACAGAGATCACAGGCAGCAAACTCATTGGGAGGGCGTCATGGCTATAAACCCCAATTAGCTGGTGCCCATATGTCTGCGAGACTCTTGCTTGGAAAGGGATCGTAAAGCCATAAACCAAGTCCTTCACTGAGCTCAAAGACATTCCAGATAAACAGTAAACAAGACACCACATTCAACATCCATTTTCCCCTATGATTACATGTCTTGGACTATGAAAGACGTACATAAAAAATGGGCATATATTCAGATCGGTCTCGTTAATACAAGTCGTCTGATATATTACATCCCCTAGCTGGCATCAATAGGAGAGCAGAAAATTATATCTCCTTAACCATCCCAACAGGTATGTCATATTTCATACCTAGAAGTTCAGCAGGTGATTCTGTGTATTAATCTACTAGTGGCAAGGTTGCTAAATGCACCGAGAATACGTTATGAA